ACTTGAAGGCTCCCATACCTCACTGCTGCTGCTGAGTTGATTTCCTTAGCTGCCCTTGCAGCCCTTAAAATTCCATCCAGCAGGCAGAAGCGCCAGAAGCATCAGCCATCTGCCTGAGGACCTGACGTTTCTTTGATTCTGTGAAGCAAACTAACAGTGACAACCTGGGCATGAATAATTCACTAGGAGGGCTTCAGTAAAGTGTTGTAGCTGCTGTGACATTCACGGCCACAGTGAGGAAAATGAAGGTTCCATTTGCTCGTTCTCCGAAGTGGTGGCCTGTGAGAAGCCATCTGACCAGAGGCTTAGATCTCCTTCTGCACGGTGTTGTGATACTGCAGATGCAGAGGAGAAAGTGTTGTCTGCTGCTTGACGTTTTCGGTGGAGCAATGAGCTGCCTCATTAAGTCTGTCTGCCATCCTGACAAGTATGTAGATGTTACACAAGTCATTACTTACGTTATCTGTGCGATGCGTACTTGGCGAAATTCTGGTTGTTGAAGTCAGTGAAATGTCTACCATCAATCCAGCTGAATGATGATTTCATGAGCTATTTTCTGGCTCCTACGTGTAAAAAAGGATAAAGTTTTGCTTTTTATAGTGTGACACTTGACCCTCAAATAATCAGTGGAAAGATACTGCTCTTACTCAAGGTGAGTTTAATTGACTACGAAAGGAAATAATTCATAGAACCATAGAACATCCTGTGCAGGAAGGGATCCATAAGGATCAGATCTGCAGTTCACAAACAAACTCTGCAAACAGCAATGAAGCAAAAAGCAAAAGCTGATGGAGGGAAGAGGATATCCCCATGGGCTGTCTGCAGGCATGTGGGCCTCCCAGAGGAAATTGGCTGTCTTAGAGCTGGCTAAGACCGTGATAGAGGAGAAACAAACTCTTCCATATGTCAGTGTTCTTGTTATTAAAGTCCTGAGAAGCTTGTACACTGTTGATCAAAGGAGGAAGGCGAGACAATAGGGGAAAAAAAGTGCAGTGAAAACATGACACTGAGATGCCAAAATTTGATAAAGTTGGCGGCTGCATCTTTCAGTCCAAAGGAAATGTATCAGTTCTCAAATGCATCTTTAGATTAGATTTTCAGTTAGTTTTCTTGGTATTCTTCAGCCTTAAATACTGGTTTCCTATGAAATGAGTGACTGAAGTGTTTTAGTTAGGTCATCAAATAATCTCTTATGCCATATATATAAGATATAACCTCAAAAAATTCTGCTGATCCCAACTAGCTATTTCATAATCTCAGTAGAGCAGCATGCAGAAAAAACTTTTTCCTTTATGAACACTCCAGTAAAGACAAACCTTCTGTCTGTGTGTCACAGAACTTTTGAACCAAAGGTCAGCCCTAAACATTGACGATCTCATCAGCTTCATGCTTTTTTGTCCATTGCCAAATATAGACAAAAATGTAATTCAAACTACAAAATGCAGAGTGATAAATTAACCTCTTATCTAGAAAAACTTCATATTGTTGCAATATCCCTCCTGTTTAGCACAATATCGTTACAAACCATATCTCAGTCAAGGTAGCCTGGTATGTATGTGGTATGTAAGCCACTAATCCATTAGCTGTAGTTTTAAAAAATAGCAAGAGATTTGTGTAACTCTTCTAGAACAAGTCATTTGTGGATAAATTTCATTATTTGATTAAGATAAGGCCTCTGGGATCCCTCAAAGACCAGGTCCTTATTCTGTACACACTTCATGTCTTCATCCCCATAAATTTACAACCTAAATAGAGGAAAGGGGTGAGAGCTTTGGTGAACTGATGTGCCCATGGTCATAGAGAACCCAGGTCTCTTGGTCATCGACCCAGTGCCCCATCATAGCTTCACAGAGCCACCTCTGCTTTTAAAATTTGAAAACATAGTAAATATTCTGTGGTTTTATGTGATTGGCAATGCAACAAACGTCAAAGGAGTACTGATTTTCCAAGTCAAGACCTTATACTGTCAGAGGTTGCTGGTGCTAGTTGTTATTTATTGGCAGTGCTTATTGCTAATTCATAATGTAGTCTGTCATTGAAATATCACAAACAAAGCATGCAGGCCCTGCTGCTAGGAGCTCACAGGCAAGCTGTGCAAAGCATTCATCCCCTCTACCATGGTAAAATATGCACAGCAAACTCTTTCCTTCTGATTTGTATGAAATGAAGCTATTTGTTGGATCCATCATGCTCACTTAGCTATGCAAGATAAATAAATCCAGAAACACTCAATAAATATCCTCAACTGCAGGGATTACCAGCAGGGGAATCAGTTATGTAAAGTATGTGGGCCTTTGGAGTTAGACATACGCATCGAGACTCAAGGCAGTCATCAGAAGAAAACTTCAGCTTTCCCTGAACTTGAGTGCTTTTTCACTAGACTGTAGATTTAAGCCCTTTTTAGCTGGTAGATTTTTCTCATGAGTACAGGGAGTGTAGCTTTTTCTTTACCCCCCCAAAATTTGTACAAGAATTACTTGATAGGAAAAGGCCAGTCAGCGAACTGTGAAACACGGAACTGGGAAGATTCATTCATTTTGGCTGATAATTACTGAAGCATGAGCTGGATCTACTGCTTGAACGTAGCTTTTCCAGACTGATAGGAATGTTATCAGTGCCACATTAAACCCTTGGGGAATAAGGGTTGGGTGGAGAGAAGTGGGATGTCAGGTTTCAGAAGAAGTAGCTGGCACCATACAGAGATGGAGAGCTTCCCTTCATACTGGGGCAATGTCACAATGTCATAAGATGCAGCAGAGCTGGCCTTGTGTGCAGCATGGCAACATAAACATCCAAATTACCCAGAGCCAGTGCTGCTGGGCCTTGAATGATTTGTGTGGCTGGGGCCATGCAGGGCTGCTTAGGACCAAGGAAGAGGCTGAGGGTGGGAAGGTGTGATCAGTGTCACCTTGACAGCAGCAGTGGGAGCGTGCCTGAAGCCTGCTGCCCTATACCTTTTCCATGTTTCCCTGAGTTTCCCTTCCTTTTTTCTCTATCTTCCTAGTCTCCCAGGATGCCTCGCTATGTCTTCACAAACTTCCCAGGCTTTCAGCATTTGTACCTCCCAGCTCTTGTGTTTCCTTCCTGAAGACCCACAGTGCCTTTCTTTCATGGTTGAGCCTGAGGCATTGTCCACTCCCTTAGCACCATCACCCTGCTCTGTCTGCTGATTCCAGGTCATCATTCTCATCCAGGGCTTTTCCTTTGTACCCAACAAAGAAACTCCCATTTTCTAGAGCTTCACTGCAGTGAGATTCCTCAGCATACCTCTCCCTAGTAGTGTCCCTGTACCCTCTTAGAAGGGTCTCTTAGCAGGGACCTTAGAACAGTCACTAGAGAAAACCCTCAAAGGGTTTTCTCATGGGTTCAACACCTCAGGAAACAACCATCTGCATTATTTAATGTCTCTAATGACAACCCTTTGACTTAAAAAAGTGAATCCCTTTTGCTGTCAGCCTTTTAAAGCTTGGTCTAAGAAAAAAATATCGCCAGCAGAAATAGCTGAGTGGAAGCAAAGGGGCCTTCCTACAATGTGCAAAGTGCCGACGCTGTGTGCGGTGTCAGCTCCACCACTGAGCAAGCGAGTGTCTGAGAGGAAGAGATGCTGTAAATCAAGCGTGCACGGCTCTGGCAAGTGCTTGCTGCAAGCACAGAGGAACAATCCACCTCAGCATCCAGCTCTCGCACGTGTGCTGAGGCACTTACCCAGCCACAATAACTGTGCTGCTGCGGGCTATCTTTTCCCTCTTTATTGTACAGGGATTAAAGCTTGGCTGCCTTGATGAGAAAGCTGTCCTGATTGCTTGCAGTCTTTTAGCATTCCTGGTTAAAGTGGTATTAAAGTGACAGCAAAGGCAATCGGAAAACTGTTCCCACTCTTTTCCTTTGAAACAAACTTAATTGGAACATCTAATTAAATGCAACGCAGACTCAGCCCTGCTTGCTTCCGCCAAGCCCCTTCGTGGTTGCAGTGCTCATCCTGCAAGAAGGAAGGGTAACTGGGGGAAACATGGGCTGTGAAAGCAGGGTGAATGGTGAGACTGGCTGCCTCTGCCTCTTACCTACACTATGACCTCAGGCAAGTCGCTTAGGTACTTGGAATTCTGGTTTCCCTACTTTTAAAGGAGAAAGGAAGGCAACTGTTTTCCTCTTACATCATGGTCAGAGGCAGAGGACTCTAAGTTGTTCTGGTAGCCTAATGACAGCTTCAGAGAAGTAGCAGAATACATAAATTTCCCCATCTTTCGAAGCACAGAAAAGAATTCCCCTGCCTTAGCAGAGAGCAGGCAGCAACTGTGAAATAATGCACTGAAATTCAGAAAACTGAGTGTAGTGCAGGAATTTGGTTACATGGCTGTTTGCAAATTAATGGCTAAATCAATTAAATAAAAGCATGGGATTTCTCTTGAGGAAAGTCTAGTCACAATTGCAAGGAGAAGGGGAGGGGTTGTGGAATGGGGATGACATAATCACATTTGCGAATCACCAGCAGTGTGCATGCTTTAATCCATTAATGGGGTTTTTATCTGCGATCATAAAAAGCAGGTTACATTCAGCCTGGAAGGGAGTGAGGGTTGGAGGAGAGGGGAGGGGAGAGCAAGAGAGAGAGAAAGCGAGAGAGAAAGAGAGTGCTAGTCGCTCAGTGAATTGCTTGCAAGCTTTGGGCTGATAATTAGGGATCTCAGGGGTGCAGTTTCTCAGAATAACCTGCTCGCCTTCGGATGGACCGAATGGAGACAGTGGTTCAGTCCTGCTGATATTTTTAAAGCCCTCCTCGCAGTTTGATGGGCATTCCCAGTGCTTTTGTGCACGTCTCGGAGAGCGTTGACGTGGAAAGGAGCAGCAAGGAGGGGGAGGTTGGAGAAAAAAAACGGCAGCTCTTCTAAAAATACAGAGGGCATGCGAGAGTTTGAGCAGGCTGGGAAGGAGGGCGAGGGGAGAGCAGCTCGCACCATGGTCCTCGGACACTCGGAGATGTCCCTCCTGTGACTGGATGCACCATGAGCATCTGGGAGGTGATCCTGGCTTTTGTGATGGTTGTGCTGATGCTCGTGGCCCTGCTGGCCAACGTGCTGGTGCTGATGTGCTTCTTGTACAGCGCTGACATCCGCAAGCAGGTCCCAGGATTGTTCATCCTCAACCTCACCTTCTGCAACCTGTTGATGACCGTCTCCAGCATGCCCCTGACCTTGGCTGGGATCATTTACAAGAGGCAACCGGGAGGAGATCAGATCTGCCACGCTGTGGGCTTCCTGGAGACTTTCCTCACCACGAACTCCATGCTGAGCATGGCAGCATTGAGCATTGACAGGTGGATTGCCGTGGTCTTCCCTCTAAGTTACCACTCCAAAATGAGGTACAGAGATGCTGCTCTCATCCTGAGCTACACGTGGTTACACTCCGTGTCATTCCCCATAGTGGCAGCGTCTCTCTCCTGGGTGGGTTTCCATCACCTCTATGCCTCCTGCACCCTGTACAACAAGAGACCAGAGGATAGGACACAGTTTGTGATTTTCACTGGGGTCTTTCACACCCTCAGCTTCCTCCTCTCCCTTATAGTCCTGTGTTTCACTTATCTCAAAGTGCTGAAGGTGGCACGGTTCCACTGTAAGCGGATTGACGTGATCACTATGCAGACCCTGGTACTGCTTGTGGACATCCATCCCAGGTAGGTGCCTGTGTGCTCAGCAAGAGATTGGCTGCAGAGGAAGTGAGAATGGGGCTTAGTGTTATGTTAAATGCAGTCTGAGCAGTGTCACAGCAGAGAGGGACTGGGAGGGGGAGAAACAAGCATCCTTCCTGCTGGTACCTGTTCTGCACGTTGCTTTGTACTTGTGTTTGTGTTTTTTTCCGGTTGCAAAAACAAGTCTTCTTTCTTAGGAGCCTGTTCTGGGAGAGAGAGCAAAGAAACAAGCAGTTTTGGCTGAGCATGCATTTCCCTTTGAGACAGTGATCAGACGACTGCTCTTTGTCTCAGAAAGTGGATTTAGTGATTGATAGAGTCACAGATTTTAGCACTGTCAGCCTGAAACAGTGATTCTCGCTGAGAGGGAGCACATGTGCCTGTCTCAGAGCTGAGAGGGAAGGGGAGCTGGGGCACTCGCTGCTCCTCCAGCTGTGTCCATGTTGCTGTGCTCTCTGTAACTTTATCTTTCCCAAAGGCAGCATCGTAAGGGAATAACATCTGCTAAATAGGTATGCTTGAATGCCTGTATGTAAATCCTACCGAGATACTTCAGTAGCAATGTTAATATGACAAGTGAGGGATGTAGAAAGCTCATTGCTAATGAGAGTCCTTAAGCGAGAGAACTGTTAGGAGAAAAGTCTCCAGGGGCTGGGAGAAGAATGGCAAGCACCAAGCAGGCATGGATGTGTATCGGGAAGCTATGCAAGAGTCCTGTCAGAGATGATGTGCAGGCAATAAATCTTGCATAAATAGGACATGTCTGGGTCAGCAAGTGAAGCAGATTTGGCGGGGAAAGGGAGAGTGGGAGAGACCTTTTTCCTGATCATTAAGGGATGCAGAGCTGTACAGCTGAAGGAGAGAAAGGTTTGCTGGATGGAAGCCCTGGGACTTGGGGCCGGTGAGAAGACAGCAGCAGAACAAGCCAGAGCAATCTGCCTGGGAAAAAGGGAAATTAGAAATCAATCCACAAAGCTAAGGCAGGATGCAGTGGGATGGAGTGGCTGATGGACCACAATAGGCTCTGGGCTTGGAGGCTCCGATGAGCTTGGGCAGACAGGCTAAGGACCAGTTGGACTGGGACAAGGTGGGAAAGACAGAGAGTGAGCTGTGAGCAGGAGAAACATGGGACTTGGTTCAGTGAGCATGGTGGTGATCTGTTGATGGTTGGACTTGGTGATCTTAGTGGTCTTTTCCAACCTTAATGAGGCTATAATTCTCTGGTTCTATGAAACCAGGGGTGTGGTTGTAGTGTGGGAGGAAATGGGCCCAGTTTGCTGAGAGTTTTGCTTAGAAGAGGAGTGTGACTGGAGCAAGTGATTGGGAAGGAAAGGCTCCAATAGACTCACCTGGAGAAAGGGGGAGAAGATGGTTTGGCTATGGGGGGTTGTGGAACATCTGTGAAGGATGCGCATGCCGGCTGTCAGAGTCTGAGTCTGTAAGTTCACACTGAAGGGAAGTGTTTTTCAGCAAGGTGCTGGCAGCTGGGGAAGAAGAGAGGAAAGCCACGAGCAGATGAGGAGGGTTGTCCCATAGCAGCATCTCACCTTGCTGTTATCTGCAGGCTGGAGGCAAGCAGCAGCTCCTGTATTGCAGCCAGCTGCAGGAGTGGAAGGAAGCACATGTGGCTGTCCTCAAAATGAGGTCAGAGCTCGGGGATTCCTTAGCCTGAGGCAAAGAAGTCTGAAAGGATCAGGGCAGGACAGTGCTGTGTCAGAGGAACAGAAACATTTGCTTAAAATTCTCCAGTTAAGCTGTCTGATCCGTGTCTTGACCACAAACGTGGAGCAGAACTTTGGGTGAGTCCTGTTCCTGCTTTTGAGAAACACATGTATAAATCTTTCTTTTTCCACCAAGTCACAGAGAGGAAAAAACAGCCTCCTACCCCATATGCTGTCTGGTTTGCTAAACTGTATCCCAGTCGCTCTTAATTCCTGCTGTGGGATGCTGTGGCCACTCACAGGGCAGTGCTGTAGACGTGCTGGGGCTGTTAGAAGTAGCAATCCTTACACCTAATGCTTAAAATATGGCTGGATTGTACAGAAAAGCTTAGAAAGAAAGGGCAAAAATCACAACGGTATTCTCCTCCTCTGCATTTTTTCTTGTCTGAGTTAACTTGAAGGTATTCCTGCATTTCTAAATCATCTCACACAGAAGAGCAGGCTCATGGGGCTGTGGGTATCGTAGCCCTTCTTTGGAGGAGATGGAGGCACTTTGCTGCCAGTAACCTCTGTTGCTGCTTATTCAGCTCATACCTCAGGCCATTCTGTAGGAAAGGGGAGATTTCTCTGGACTACAGCAACGATGGCTGATTCCAGCCTACAGTGCTGCTGTCCTATCAGTGACAGCTGCAGCAGCTGTAGGGTCAGACCTTAGACTCTACACAGAGGCTCTTCACAAAGTGATCTGCATTGTGTTATATAAGTGGCACATGTCCAGGAATGTTTAGTGTTTGTGATAGTACCCAACAGCAAAACACGGGCACTGGGAGGACGTACACGAGAGGCCAAAGTTTGCAGTTGTAGCTTAGTTTACCCATGGCTTTTGTGTGGTCTGGTTTCAACGCTGAGAAATGTGTACAGACAATTTTCTGCTCCTTGTGACTCAGAATCCACCCGCCAGGGGTTCTGGGACAGGCGTTATGACAGATGGCTTTATTACCTGTGACTTGGGAAGACAGAAGTGATCTTCTGAAGATCATTTGAGATGAGTACGAAGGAAACCTCTAAATACCGCACAGAACCGTGTGAATGTTTAGGGCACATGTCCTTTCAAGTTAGCTTTGGCATTTTTACTGGGCACTGCTTTTTCTTGACTTTGTTCCCTAGACTGAGCTATCTGAGTTACTGTGAGAGGCTTGGGCAAGAATTCTCTTAAGTGCTTAACTCATGTATTTCTCAACCGAAATTATCTATGCTATCTTTTTGTGTATGCACCTCTTAAAGATAGTGGATCTTAAGTTTCAGTATCTCATAAGCTTTGTTTAAAATACCAAAGCTTCAAAGGGATATATCTCAGATTTACCAGGATATTAAAATCTTTGAATGAAAGCTTAGTCAACAAACCAGTTCTGTTACCAATGTCACCCGTGGAACCCATGTTTATGTTCTTATCTAACTGCATAAAAAAGTGCACAAAAGTAAAATACCCATCTGAGCACATGATTTATATGGATGAACAAGATAAAATAGTTTCATTTGTGATGTGGTATATACTAGCTACATCTGGAAATGCAGAACAAAAGAAATCAGCCGAAGCTTTCAGGTCTTCCCACGTCACACGTGAGCTCCTGGAGTCAATAACAGCTTTGTATACCAATTAATGTGTAAAGAGATATAGTGGAGGGAACTATTAGACACAAAAAATACCCCTCCCCACCCTAACAGCATCCTAACTGAAATGGCTTTGGAAATTTTTTTTCCTATACTGATGCATGTTCAGGATGTTATGAGTCTCAGCGCAGGTCTTAAGTGAAGCTGCTGAACCTCTGAGATCCTGTTTGCACCTGAAAGTACTCCAAGTTCTTCAGCTCCTGCAGAACTGGAAGCATAGGTTCCCTCAAACAGGTGGATTTCTTTTTTTACTGCTCAGCTGTCATTTTGAGCTGCATATAACTCAGATGTAGAACATGTAACACTGTTAGATGCGTTTTAGTTCTACTTAGGCATATTCTTTAGGAGCAAGGCAATTTGTTATTTCTTTCGTTCACTTTTCCATCATGGCAGCTGCTCTAGGAACTGGATGTAAGAGAGTAAATAAAAAGGAAATAATGAAAAAAAAAAATTTTTTTTTTTTTTTTAGCCCAATCAAAAGATAACATTAGAACGGTCTGACACAGATAGCCCCAAAGCACCTTGAGACCCTCAGGACACAACACGTGCTTAGATGTTGATCAGACATTAGAGCAAACAACAGACAGCTGCGGTCATAAACCACACAGCTATTAACATATGCAAGTGTGGAACCTGACAATGAGTCATCAATTCCAAACTTACAATAAAATCAGAGGGAGATGAGCTCCAAGCTGTCATAACGTGCTGTGCAAGGGCCAGACCACTGACTTTGCCCAAGACACATGGTTACTTTGACACAAGATGTGTGCAATGGGCCCACAGGCAGCAACACTGCTATGTGCCTAGAGAGGGATTTGGGCAGGCTGCCTGGCTTTGGTTTCATCCTTTCCCAAAGGGAGTATGTTGGCAGATTCACCAGTTCAGGTGCAGATGGCTCTGGGATGTACAACCTGTGCTTCCAATCCCACAGAAACACCTACAGAGCCACAGACACATCCCTGGGCTTCACCCAGCCAGCACAGAAGTTGCACAAGCAGGTAGAGGAAGATGGAAAAATCAGAACAGGACTAATTGGTGTCTGTTTGGTTGGAAATAAGGCTGGTTTGAGCCTCAGAGTCAGAACACCTCAGCTTTTCAGATTTGTTGTCTAGTTTCTGGCTTTGCAAAGTACTCAACACGTGCACAAACTGTTGTGGGATTTATGGCTGCACTGTTCACAGCTACTGGATATAATGATTGCTCCAATGTTGGGCTGACTGGTAAGAGGGTATGTTTTCCTGTCATGATTTCACTGTGCTTTATTTCTTACCTCACTGGGCTGTTTCTCCTATCTGTGATATGGTTATTTGAATTGCCTTTCCTATGGAAGCAGGATGCTGCCTATCCCATTCTACTGTTTCGTAAACCTTTGAATATCATGAGCAAAACTCAAATACAGCTTGCAGCGATTCAGAAAGGAGATGCCATTGGATTCAAGGCTGGATGCCACCAGCCTGTCCATAAATAAATCAATATAACGGGGTGCTTATGTGCATATAAGTGTACATACATGCATTTCTCAGTAATTGGTTTTGGAAGGTAAGATCACGTAAAGCATTAATACTCACTCTTCTCCTGTGAAAATGCAATGCATTGGTTATCGGGTTATGGGAAAGCAGCATGTACTGGAAGAACTGATTTCTATTATTCCAGAAGTATAGCTGTTAAAGTCTGCTACCTGATATTATGATTCATGTTCTTGTTTGTGTTGAATGTTGCACAGTGTAAGAGAGCGTTGTCTAGAAGAGCAGAAGAGACGGAGGCAACGAGCAACAAAGAAAATAAGTACCTTCATTGGTACCTTTATACTTTGTTTTGCACCTTATGTTATCACAAGGTAAGCAGGAACCTATGTTCTGAAAAAGTGGTCAGAAAAGCAGGGCACTGAAACTGATGCAAGCTCCCAATGAAAGCTCCCTGCCATATTTCACCTACCAGAGATTCTATTTGCTGTGCCAACCACATTATGTAGAATGTCACAGCACTTCCAGTCCAACCCCTCTGTAGTCTGCGAGCCAAACCCCATCCAGCGAGCCAAGTCAGTGTGTGGGTTGCATGGGAAGGACTAAGGAGTTCAGTCCCCAGGTGCCAGGAGATGTTGTTGTGGTTATTTTCGGAGACCAAGAATTTACCTGCACCTCAGAATACACCAGTGGCCCAGGGGGTGAGCTAACCCATAGTATAGGACATTGGTCTGAATAGGATGAAGAGCTGAGATTTAAACAGCAGCTTTCTTGGACAGAATCCTTGGTCATAAATGTCAAATATCAAAGCTAGTCTGGCTTACAGCTAAAGAAAATCTTGCATTTTATGTTCAGATGTCCCTATTTATCTAGCAGCTTATTTCTGAAAATGGCTCCTGTGGGAAACACAGAAGTACTCCTATGAAACAAAATTATTGGAAAGCAAGTGTTTCTGGATTAGTGTTATCAAGTTGTTGAAAGGAAATTTACAACTTGTGCTCATTGTTAAAACTCAGGAAAAACTGAAATGCTCCTATGAGGAGCAGAGAAAGAAAAAGATATATACACGTAAAGCATCACCTATTCCAGTATTACTGGAGAGAAATTAATGGAGCTGATGTCAGTCAAATTCAGAATTGCCAAAAAAAACCCACATTGAAAAACCAGAATTAAGACTCAGTGTAAGTGGGCAATAGAAAAACCCATTTTTCCATCACAGTACAATATCCTGAATTTCTGTTTTTAACAAAACAATTAACAAGCAGTCTTGTAGTCTCTTGTTAGAAAGAAAAAACTGCATGCCACATTAATTTTATGCTCATGATAATAACAGCTAATTGATCCGTGCTAATAACTTGTGACAATGTTGGGAGTACGTTTGTACAGCATTATGAAGTTTTTCTTCACCCTGACTTCACAGTGGCAAAGAGACCTTGCCCTGTGCTCTGAAAGGGTACGAAAGGATTTAAAATTATGGGCACTTAGCCTTAAGTGTCAGGCTATAAGATATTAGAGTATACCTTACTTCAAGTGGTTAAATTTCATTTTATATCAGGTGTGTGAAGCTAATGAAAATCATCACAGGCACTGAATAGCTCTCAGCTCAGCCCTGATGACACCGAGCACTTGAGCCAGGGCTGTCAGAAGTATTTCTGTGCTCCCTGCAGTTCAGCCCAGCATTCAGCCACCACCTCCCTGCTACCACTGAGCTCCAAGGCAGCCTGTGTGCTTCTAATCCTGAAGTACAAAAGGGGGGTGAGGGGGGGGGTTAGAAAAATCCTCAACCTACCTGCTTCAATCCTTACAAGGTTCACTAAACATTCACACAAGTCTTCAGTCCACGAAGGACCGATGGCTTTTCTGCAGGGGGTGACCAGAAGAACTGAGGCACAGGGTCCTAACAGTACAGAGATGCTTTGCACCATGATCTATGGAAGGATATTTGAGGATGCCTTCTGCATGTGACTGATGTCAAAGCCAGGGGAACGAGGAGGCTTCATTATGTAAGCAAATATTCTTTTCTGGACTAAATCCAGAGTGTTTTGCACTTCACAAGATGGGGCAATCAGTCACTTCTCAAGGCTGTGAACAGAAGATAGCTGACGAAGTGTATCATTCCCATGGGAACAGCAGGCTCGAAGTGGCACTTAACTTCCATTAAACGTGCTCTAAACCAGCTGATGATTTGAGGGCTCCAAACAGGCAGGTACTGGGTTACACTATAATGCCTTTCTGCTTCCACACCAAAAGCCAGCAGTTGTCTGCAGCAGCCCACAAGCCAGAGAGGGAGCCATGCCTAGAGCTGCAGTTGGACAAATGCCTCTCTAGGTCAACCAGAGTCTTTTTCAGCTCACATCAGGGTAAAGATCAGATTAGTCACCCCTTTTATCAAGGAAATGCCCATTTAATTAGTTCAGTGGCTGACCTTAAGTAGCACATCTAGACAGTTCTATTATTGATTCAGTGTCTTCAGGTACCAGATGTATGTTGGCTATTCCTAGGTATAGCTGGTTGCTTGGTTAGGAAAAATGCTGTTATAACACATCTCTTATTTTGCTATATTTATCGTTATGTGATTGAAAACAGTATTGAAAACCTGAATTCTCCTAGAAGCTTCTTCATAAGAAAAATCAGAAGAAGTCATACTATTTTCTAATATTTATGTCCAACTCCACACTTCTCAGACAAATACAGAACTTTGCTCAAGTGATCTACTAAATGCTGTCAATTTTGGGGCAATTGGCCCTAAATTAAAAATTCTGAAGTAATATTACAAAGAAGTGTGCAGTCCCAAGGCCTTGGGTTAGGGAGAAGGATGGCAAAAGAGGCAGAAGACTGAAATTCTCTTGTATTATCTCTGGGGAATGGGACAAACAAAATGCATTTTTACTTTGGTTGGCTGCCCTCTGCATACAAACACTGCTTGGGCAGACAGACAGGCAAACTCACAAATGAGTTCTGATCTATGTTCTTGCTTGTCTGCTTATAAATGCACACTTCTCCTAAGTGTGCATTTATAGGTTGATGTATTTGAAGGCTTTCTAGGCTCCCTCAAAAGCTTCATGTGACATAGGTGGGGGGGTAAGAAGAGAGGTAACAGCCTTAAGCTGTGCCAGGGGAGGTTCAGGTTGTAGGATAGTAGGAAAAAAGTATTTCCTCTCAGAAAAGAAGTGGGAACACTGATCATCATGTTCAGTTTATTCATTAATACAAGAAAAAAGACCAAGATAAAATTCTGATACTATGAGTCCTGTGTGAAATAAATAAATAAAATCAGAGTTAGTAACGAGCAGAATTGTTTGGATTATAAGCTTAAAGAGTAGATCCAAGTTCCTGAATTCCTGCTCAGTTTTGCCCCTGAACAAGACATAATCACTTGTTTGAGGATCTCTAGCCTATTCAGAGTTTTCTTTAAAACTCTGTTAATTTCTGAAGGAGAGTCAGTGCACAGGAGAGATGCTCCATTATACTAGCTGCCCATATGGACCTATGTATGTCCTGTAAAATATTTTACTAACGTGATAAACTGCACATGTATGTAAAGCAGTTTCACTCTGTGTTATCTGCATAAGAGATCAAGGTCTTACTCTTCAAGGTGACATCCTTGTTTACTTCTGGAAATGAAATAAAATAATTGGATTTCCACTTGCCACTATGTGCGCCACAGAATTACGTTTCTAACAGATTAGAAAAATTATCATGGCAAAACAGTTCATTGTTTTGAAGTACAGGAATTGGGTATCAGACAAGTAGAAGAGTGGCTTTTGAAAGTGAGTTAGGGAATTATGTAGCCAATGCTGTAGAATTTAATTTAGAGGTAGCACTGAAATATTAATGCACCTTCACTGAAAACATCTTCCTGCCTGAAATGTTTCACGAAAATTGAAGCTATGCATATAATTCCCCTCATTAATGAGAAACAAAACCCTCTTTCAAAGGCAATAAGGTATATGACACTACTTGAAGACATTTAATTGTTTCTACATCAAATAGAATTGCGTATCTTGGGGCTTATCTGCAGTTGTTTGTTGCTATGTATCTGCAAATGTCAAATATAATACACAAGAATGGCAAGATCTTTAAATGTCAAGGACACAAGGAAATAATTGAAGAAAATATCATAGATTCTGTTGATAAAAGTGCTGGATTTTTAATTGGTCAGTCACTGAAGGCAGAATTTGTAAGCCTACACTTACAACCCTGCAGTGTCCATGTGATGTGCTCTAAATGGAGACTGTTAACAGCTCATAGGACTGGGTGACAGAGGTTCAGACACAAATTTGTCATACCTTGATCATTCAAGGCATCCACTGCACTTAATTAAACTTAATCAAATTCAGTATCTGTAAAACATTTGACCAAAGTAAATCAACCACATTAGATTCAAGATGATAAAATTTTAAATGCAAAGAAGTCATTAAATATATGAAGAAGGATGGCTCACCATAAATTACAGAGTAAATATGACTTACTAGAAGATGAATATCCAAATATTCAAATCTCATTTTAGAACATATTTACATGAGTCTCCTAGCTACATTTTCTTACATGGCTGAATAGACCAGACCTCCAGCAGCCAGAGCAGGAGGTAATTGTGTTTGACTTTGGATGCTGCTTTGTAAAAAAAGATATCAACCACAAGTTAGAAGGAGAGGTTGGAAGAATGGCGTTGACTTAGGCAAGACGAAAGGAGAGGAAAATTATGGCAGTTCTTTGGGAACTCAGAGCAGCTCACAGTGATGAGCTGAGCCAAATTCTCAAGCATTTTCACATAACATAACCTTGTCAACTCCAACGCCTTACATGCCCCTGAGCCCATAACCCCAGTAGGTACTGGGTGTTCCTCTTCATATGCATAATACTTTCAGCCCTTGTCTCCACTGAAGCACGAATGTTCTCCCCGGAGAACAGCACACAAATGCAGAACATTTCTGAAATGGCCATTGAGCTCAGTAAAGATATAAAGAACCTGAAACTAATTTGCTCTTTGATAATAGGACATATTAATGTAAAGATTTTAACTGTGACAGGATGATATTTCTCTCTGAAGCATGGTGGTTATCAGTGACTAACGCTTAATTATTTGACAGTGAAATTAAGAGCATATAACATGAATTGTCAAACTTCAGTTAGTTCCCTTTATCTCAAGGTTCCATGAAATTATTCATTTAATACAGCTTAGGCTTGCACTACGTGCTGTTGCAGTGTATGCAAATTGATGCCAAAGAGGTGCTCAGAAACTATTTCAAGATGACAGAGAGGCCCTTGTAAGAAAGAACTTGCAAGACCAGAAGTACATCTTTGAGTGGTAGCTATCCAAGCATCCCTGAGCACTGGGATGTTTTGAGCACTACTGCCACACTGTACCAAATTCAGGCCCCACTTTCAAGCTCCAGTGACTAGACCATGCCATCTGCCAGTGCTATTTTAAACAACAAAATGCAGGGAAACTTTATGGAATGCAAACAAAATGGCTGAGGAAATCCTTATTTCTAAACCGCTTGAAATGCTAGCAGTGTTGGTGTTGATGCTGTAGGAATCACACTTGAGAATGCTACTTGGAAATGGTCCTTTGTCTGTAGAAAGGTTAGCAGTTGAAGATTTTTCCATGCAGGTTTAAAAACACCTGTGTCTGAAGATAGTTGTCAGCAAAGATCTCATTTGCTATCACAGAGTGGGGCTCTCTAGCAGCACATATGCCCTTTGGAATCATTCTTCTCTAGAAAAATCAATAGTTACTCAACAGCTGTAGAGACATATTGAACAGAGTTGCCCTTCAGTGTTGCTCAAAGACGAGGGAAAAGAATCTTGTGGAGTTATCAATATTGCACTGTCAAAAATACTGGAGGTCTCAGAACAAAGTGAACAGTCTGTGCTGGGGTGTGAGGGGCATATAAAGCTCTTTTTCCGTCCCTCCCTTCCCAATGACTTAAACATTTTTCTGGGCTAGATTTATTGCAATAGTATTTTTGGACTTCAAATTGACCACTTTTAAAAGTTAAGATTAATTGAGCCATTTCTTAGTGAATAATTTTCCTTCCTTGTATGCTTCACCTGTAGCCCAGTCAGACTAATCAAATGCATCACACTCCAGAACCTGGACTTCTTATAAATGATATGTATCACTGCATGATGGTTTTGCAGATACTCCAGAGAGGACCTTGAAGGATGACTATGGACCAGATGTTGTATTTTAAGTTATAACTATAGGGAGATACAACTCCCACTAAACCAAGCGATGATGGTCAGTGTCTCGATCTCAGTCTTTGGAACCCAAAGTTTTTGCAACAGCAGCTAGGAAATTATACTGAGCTGCACAGAAATATATATTATTATATTGGCTATTAAATGTGGTGTGCACGATGGATTAAATGGTGCAGTTAAGCATCAGGAAATGTTCTTGGGGAAAGTTATACTCTTTTCATATCTTTTAGAGTTCTATCAAGTCTATGATGAGCTTCAGCTGTTAAAAATATGATCTTATGGCATGCACTACTGGAAAAAAATTACGCAACAAAAACACTAAATAACAACAACAAAACAAAGATGTATCAACTACGAAACTTTGCTTTCTAACAAGAGATCTTACTAGGACTGAAAACCCTAGAGTAATCAGAGAAAGTAACACTCCTTGTTTGTGTGCACAAATTTTGGCAGAGAGAATAAAACCATAATGGTTGGGGATATGCCATGCAGTGTTTAAACGTAGACATTTTTCACAAGCAGAAAATTTTCTGGGGAGTGTTAACCTGCTTACTTCAGAGCATTTATGATCCTGAGCGCTACAGAGAGAAAAAAAAAGAAAATCAGGGCAAGATTATTGCATATATACAGAGTAAACTGACCCTTTATCAACAATCTCACTCACTTTGGTCATCAAGAAGAGTTCAAAATCCAGCTCTGTATAGACAGTCAGACTTAATTGTTAGTCTCCAAAGGTGTCTTGCAATAACAAATAAATAGGCTCTTCTAGAGTTTGCCTCATTCTGTTGGAGCTGTTGTACTTTGCATTCAATTGTCCAAAAGATTTGAGGCAAAGATATGAAGAACCCTTCACGAAGTAACACATCCAAGGCCAAATTCTGGCTTCAGTAAGCATACATCCGAATGTACAAAGTGAAGGATGCCTGGAAGTTTACAGTTCAAGACATCTCAACAGGAGCTGTGTAATTACATTTCGGGGAAACAAACCCCAGTTTTACTATTGCATAGTCACAAAAACATGTCCATTCACATTTTCATGGGTATGGTGTTTTTTTTTCCCACCCTTTTGTTTTCTTGCAAGTGCCCAGGAATTTGGGGAGGGGTGCATCGTTGACTTCTCATTGTGCTGCTGGAATACTCACTCTTTCAACCTTTCTCTTCCCACAGACTTGTTGAATTATCCTCTACGATCCCCATCAACTCCCACTGGGGAATTATCTCCAAGTGCTTAGCTTACAGCAAAGTAGTTTCAGACCCTTTTGTTTACTCTTTGCTACGGAATCAGTACAAGAAGACATGGAAGGACATCATAAACAAGATCCTCAAAAGGAGCTCCATCAACTCCTCTGCCCTCACCAGCGAGTCGCACAATCGAAATATATTGCAGCTGAATGAATGAGGAGCCTTCCTCGTGGGTATGGGATCTTCCAGAAGCATTAAATGATATATGAGAAACAACAGTAACTGGCCTATCCCTAATAGCTATCCTCAGCTGTCAAGGCTTTGGGAGGTGGTCGCAGGGGCTGTGTCCTTTCCACAGCCCTCGTACACCCATGGGAGGCTGCTTTGAGCCTCCTCTCTCCAACTGCAGCACGCTATCGGGTGCGTGGTCCTGCACACTTCACCAAGACCAATCTCCCATTGATTTCCATCAGCAGTTACACATAGAGTGAAAAGCTGCTCCTTGGTGGAAGGGCTCATGAGATTAGCGGGAGCAGAAAGGTGCAATAGTGAGATTATTTTTAAAAAAGCCACGCAGGTATATATATCTGTGCCATGTTCTTCACTGGCTGCAGATCAGGGTCTCTCTGATGGATCTGCCAGCTTTACAAAACAACCTCAACCCGGTTGCTTCAGCAAGTACCCTATAGAAAAGATCTTAATAGGAAAATCTAAATAGCAAAATCTTTACCTGGGCACTCATACAGTGCCCAGTATAGCTTTCAATCTCATTTGGTACATATCATTTGAACAATTCTGTAGAACTGAGTGGAAAGAAAATCACTTTTGTAGTACACTACCAGCTGGATTCTGATGTGTCCTCTAAGTAACTTTCACAAAATTCTATTACTTTCCTCTTCATTAAATTAAAAAAAAAAAAAAAGTAGATTAATAGGATGGAATGGTTAGAATGCCTCCTGCCTACCCTCAACCCCCTTTTTAGGATTTCTGAATTATAAAGAGATGAAATTTGTCCCAAAGCTGCAAAAATCAAGAAATCAAGAATAATAATTAATTGGTTGTCCCTGCTATGATTTTAGTAATAATTCATAAAACAACTTGCATCAAGAAAACGTATCCTCGTCATGATATCTTGAAATTATTTTCTGGTAAAGACCTATTGGTCTCAGAGGCTTTACATTTATACTTTGATAGGCAAAAGACTTGCAACCAATTCTGACCTTAACTCTAATCATTTGTCTCCAGCAAGGTCCACAAGGCAAAGGTAAGATAACAAGAAATTTTTACTTAATAGGTCAAGAAACCTTCTGTTCAGTGGCCATAAAGTAGACAGATTGTTGGTAAAGGTGAAACAGCAAATGTGTCACATGCCCAGATTATGAATAGTCTTTGCTTGTCAGGTTCCATGCATGCAGTGGCAGTTTATATAACAGCTGACATATCTGGCTCTGTTAACACCTTAACATACTTAACTTCCTTATATTCGAACTGTAAATACAGAAATCAGATTCATATTGATGGAATTACTTTTTAGCTGCCACCTCTTATGTCCTCCAAGCAAAGGGCACTGGATGTTGTCCATAGCTCTGCAAAAGACCTTCCCTTTGCTTGGAATATACAAGAGAAAGAAGCTAAATTAGTATATTCTGCTTCATTTATGATAAATAACTAGTATCAATCATTTTGCAAATCTTGGCATACTCTGTTTTACAAGTTCCACCATGAATATTTGTCCTTTAACACAACAGATGTTATGACAACAATAATTGCCTTCATACCTTGCAAAAAGCATCCACTGTTGAAGTTTCTCACCATCATTTCACAACCTGGATAGGTAACTCGGTGAACCCCAGAGTCAATATATTAGAGGTAATAGCTTGGGTGCTGGTGTGCAGAGCCTTGCCTTAGCCCCACTCTCTGGCATGATATCACAGCTGCAAGGAAAATGTTAATCTAACGTTAATCCCATTGCCACCTGCATTGTAAATGCAAGATTTAATAGAATGAAGATCAGTAGCAGTCATGTAAATAAAAATCTTCAGCTAGCTATCCAGTTCAGTTATAAAAGTACAGCTTAAATAAAGTAAAATACATACACAAATATAGTCATGGGATCTAAGTTTTGCCAACACTGCGTTCAAGGTTAGCCATTAGCCATGTTACATTGTCTACCTCATCTTAACCATTGGACTTGTTAGGCTTAATGTAATTTTCTCAGGTGCAATAAGTAAAAAGGCCCTGTTCGATACTTGTTTCTTAGAAAATTCAAGCTGTTTGAAGAACTTTGTTGTATCCTGAAAGGATATTACAAAGCTGTCAGAGGGGGTTCGGAGGAAGGCCAGGCAGAACAGCTGCCCAGAGAGGCTGTGGATGCCCTGTCCATCCCTGGAGGTGTTCAAGGCCAGGTTGGATGGGGCCCTGGGCAGCCTGGTCTAGCATTAAATGGGGAGGTTGGTAGCCCTGCATGTGGCAGAGGGGTTGGAGCTTAATGATCCTTGAGGTCCCTTCCAACCCAGGCCATTCTGTGATTATTAGTGAGCTTAAAAAGGTAAAATGCATTGTACCAAGATGTTATGTATTTGACTAAGACCCTTTCTATGTAAGCAAATTAGAATGGAGTGATGGTTGAAGTCCATAGGTGTTGTCAGTTTATGCTGGGCTGCTGCCAAGTCAAAGGAAGGTTTGCATGTTGATAAACTCAGCCCCAGAGGGGTTTCGCATTTTCAGTCCATTATTCCAATAGAGAAAAATAACTTCCCAGAAAAAAAAAGAAAGAAAAGCTACTGTTAGAACGACTGGTAAAAGGTGGAGAAGAATATAGCATCAGACTGTGTATCACAGTCAGTCCCTGGTTGATTTATGTGTCACCACGAGCAATAAATCTCTCCCCTTGTATGCATTTAAAGCTTTGTCTTTCTTTCATTGTGCCTTTCTTTCAAAATTAATCTCATAGCAGAGAATAAACATAATTTCCCCTTACTTACATCAGATCTCTGACACATTGTCATATTTCTACCAGCTGAAGCAAGCGGGAGCTGTGCACGCTGGCGCTTGGCAAACTGACTCCATATACAAATAAAAATAATGCCCTAACATTTCCGGATGACATTTTATAAGATACAGAAATATGACACTGTGGCTCGTTAAGTGCTAGCTATTCAGCTGAGTTCTTATAGGCAACCAGCAAAAATTTTTGAAATGTATGTCTAAGTGATGAATGTAGCTATGACTAACTACGTGTCTGCTGAGTATTATATGTACTATACAACGCTTTCACTCCAGTGAGTTAGAATAACGATGGCAAACATAATGCTCAATACTTCATTATCTCTGATCGTCAGTCGGAACCGTTCTCTTGTCAAACGCCCATGAGAGGGTGCGTGCAAGGGCTGGGTTTTCCATTTGTCATTTGAATGTTTTTGGAAAAAAAACGTTGTAAATTACAGCTACAGTGTGCCCAAAATATGGAACTGCATGTGCAAAGCTTGTGCAGCTGCTTAGGCAATATGCAGTTGTCTGTTTGGTGGTATCTGCAATCCATCTGCAATATCTATTTCTCACAGGCATGTTCAATTAACATTTTCTTCCTATCTTGTAAGTTTGACAGGCAGAACATTGGCAGACAATTAAAAGTATTTAACCCAGTATGTCATTTTGCAGGTTCTGAGCTTTTCCCGCTGCTCATTTTACAACCATATATTATTTATATGATTTCAGAGCCATAGTTGTGAACACCATTTTTGTATTACATTTTTAATCCAGTTTAGATGTGGAGATTCAGGTAATTCCATTTGGCAGAATGGATAAGAGAATGAAATGAGCTTATTGAGTAAATAAGCAGTACCAAACCCACCTCTAGACAGAAATCAACGTAACTATTGTTTCAGTTGACGATTCAGTCCCATTAGATAACTATATCCAGATCTTTTACATCTGACTTCTAGGTGTGTAAGGCCATGTCCTCAAAGGTATTTACACATGACAAGATGTAAACAGGATTTGTTGAGTTCCTTGTGATGTAAGTGCAGCGTTAGGCAGCTATGAGACCCATCTCTAAATGAGGTCTATCCCCATTGTTATCCCTTTTTGAGGTAAAAAAAATCCTCAAAACTATGTTTTTGATGGCCCCAAGCCATACTTTCTACAACATCAAGCTTTATTTCTGAAACGATCAAGCCTAGACTGTTTAAAAGTCCCAGACAACTCCTTATGAAGCTGAGGACTTTTGCAGCAGTACCACATGCATCACATCATTCCAGAGCAGCTGAGAGTAGAAGGGACCTCTGGAGGTCATCTTGTCCACCTCATGTTGCCATCTCAGTTTTGCCCATACATCTGTTTGCTCTTTGATAGCACTGGGAGATGATAATAGTTCACATCAAAAATAAAGTCTTCCTAGAAATTAGCTGGGGCTTAGACTTGACATCAAAAACAGCTGCATCAGTACAACTTCAGAGGTTACCAAACTAGGTCAAAAATATGATTGAGAGGCATGGGACCAGAAAGTTTGGGAGTTCTTATCCTTACTCTGTTGCAGTGATGTGCATTACCCAGGCTGTAGTGGTCATTTCTTTAATAACCTGCTTCCAAACCAAGAGTTCACCAGATCTCACAGCCATCCACTTACCCCAAAGACAACATTTCTGGTAAGGCTCAGTAGCTGCCTTGGAGGAATCCCAGTCTCCACAAGCAGCACAGTCTCCATAGAAGAGTCCTTGTTGGCTTGGGAAGGCTTAAATAGTTTTCAGGTGGGATGTGTGGGAAGGCCTCACATTGATGGCCTGAAACCAGCTCCACCTGGGTGAGTCTTGCTTTGGGAGACAGCCTAATTCTTAAAGCCCCAGAGGCTCGAGTCATTTGTGTGAAAAAAGCTTTTTCTGGATTTGCTTGCCTAAATTCTCTTAGTTCTTTCACCATCTCTTAATACTGAAGAAAGGCTCTGAGGTCCCTAAGCATCTTGTCCAGTCCATTGTGCAGTGAATCCTTTGAAACAGACCATTGGAAATTGCTCACTTTCTACTGCTCTCAGGATTATCTTCTCCCTCACCTTCTTCTGATTAAATGGAACTTATGTTCAACATCAGAGACTTCACACCTATGTCAGCTCGTTGCTACTTGGCCCTTACAATCTCAGTATATTACTGCACACCTCGTTCAGCACAGAAAGCTCAGTTAGGTCAGTGGATCCTATGGTTTTTGCTTCAGGAGGCCCTGGGT